CATCCACGTCCCCGGCGGGGGACTTTGCCGCCGGTGGATAGTCATCCAGACGTGCGGACATCTTGACGGAAAAAATTGCTTGCTAAATCCTAGTAACTTAAATCTCATACATTGCAATATAGCCCCTAAGTGTGGTTAATCTTGACTTTCATATGAGAGAATTTTGAAAATATAAAAAAATAAAAAGTGCTGCACTAGGCCTGGGGTAGTCTGTAAATTTGATAAAGAATCTAAATTATTAATTTTATTTTGAAATGAATATAATATACAAATATAATTAAAACTGTAGGACACTAATTCCAAATTAAATCCATTCTAAATAAATTTAAGTTATTATTATTATTATTAATATGTCTGTTCGCATTGTCCAAAGAGTGATTCATATGAAATATTTCATCCACCCAAAAATTGTCTTTTATCTAAAATGATTCTTAACATTAATTAAATTTACATTTTAAGCTTTAGTTAAATATTTTTTAAAAAGTTTTGCCAATACCTTACAATTACTCGCCCGGATATCTCATTTATCGTTAATTATCTAAGTCAACATATGCATCAACCCGCCGCCCTTCCACACTATCAAAAATTAAAAAGACTTCTACGCTATCTAAAAGGAACTCCTCATTATCGAATTCTCAGTATATCTGGTGCTATGTCCTTAACAGCTTACACAAATGCTAACTAAATACAAGGGATAGATGATCTATCTCTGTGTTAAGCATCTACATAAGACCGCAACTCATATCCTGGTCAGCAAAGAAGCAACCTGCAGTGGGTAGATCATCTGCTGAAGATAAATATAGTGCCCTTGCTACAACAACTACATAAATTATATGGCTAAGAAAACTTCTACAAGAGCTTACCAACACACCTCCCTCTACCACCATGTTATAGAATGACAGCACCTCAGCTATAGCCTTGGCACACACAACCCCATTTTTCATGCATAGAGCAAAAACATCTAAGTGGACTATCACTTCATCTAAGAGAATTATGCTAAAAGCATTAATCAAATTTGAAAAATAGTTATAAAATTGATAATGGTATGGGGTTTAATATTATATAGTTAACTTTGTTAAGTTGGATAAATTAGAAGGGAATGTTCATAATTTAATTTTCTATTTCATTTAATTCTCTTTTAATTTTGAGTCGTCATATTGATGTCTTAAGCAATCTCTTATATTCTAATTTAAGAATTTTTATTTATTTAAAAGATAAAAAAATTCATTCCAATTTTTTGAGAGAATGATATGTGAGGATGGATTTTTAACCAATGGAGCTACATTATAGAAAATACATCAAAATAAATAAGGGATTTTAAATCACCCCAAAACAACTCAAAATTTTGAAATTCATCCTCACACACGACAACTAGAATAATATTGTGATGCTAAAAAAAGGCAAACTATCTACTCTTAATTTTATTTAATTGAAATATAATTGGGATATTTTTATCATTAGCATAGTAATGTTATTCAAATGTGCATAAATTATGAGATTTGTTCACCAATGGTTTAAGATCTAACTTTGTGGGACTCATGTATAAGGATCCATGACCTGGTAGTTAGCTAAGATTGCTTATTCAAGTTACACAATTTGTGATTTATATCTCATCATTGTTGCCCAAAGAAACAAGCTTTTGATACTCATTATATGTCACATTGCTAAAGATCCAACCTCCCTTTATTTCATTGCTTGCGTGGAATCTGAACCACACAAGAGCTAAAATTCCTCATTTTATGATTGAATATAATATCAAGAATAATATACCATCCTGAAAGATAAAAATGATGTATATTGATGGATCAAAATATAAATGATTTATTTTAGGACCAAGAGTTTATATCAGTAGAAATTTTTTTCAGGGCTTATTTTATTTTGAGGCCCTTTTTTTTTTTTTTTTATACGGGCAAGTTGTTGTATTAATTTCATCCTAAGAGTGATGAGCTCCTAGGAACACTCTCAATGGTGACTTACTACTTTAAAAATTTTAAAGTTAAGATTTTCAAATCTTGCATTGAAATTTTAAAGAAGAAAAATCTATTTACACATTTAACAGCTAAATTTTACTTTTTGCATTTATACCACCAAAATCTATTATATGTATTTTTTTTAAATATAGTGTAAAAATGATATGAAGAAATATTATTTTTTAATTAATTAATTATTTCAATCCAAAACAAGACGAACATGAACGAACAAACTTTTGTTTGTGTTCGGTTTATTTGCTTAATGAATGAATCGAACGCGAGTTGTTCGCGAATGATGAGCTTTTTTTGACAGTTCTAGCTTCAATGACCACAATCTTGTGTAGAAATTAATCAAGGCCATGAACAGAACCTCACTAAAGTTTGACTTGTGTTATTACCACAATGGCCATAAAATTACCTCATTTGATACTGAATTTAAGATTTTGCTTGGGGATGTGACTCAGGCTTATGACTCATGACCACAAACTTACTTGAGACAAAGTGAAGGAGTCTGCTTGCGACTATTATGTGAGATTTTGCCTTGACAATCATAACAACATGTGGGATTGAATGGAGCTATTTGGGGCCATGACCAAGTTTTAGGCCTTGACAAACCTTGTTCATGATTGATTGCAGGAGTTTGCTCAGGACTTTGATCTAAGAATATATTTCAATGGTGTGATTATCTCAGGGACTTTGGAGAACAACCGCTTTAGATTTGTCATAGGTATGTTTCTGAAAATGGAGTCAAGCTTCTCAAAAAAGTGACGAAGCTCTATCAGTTGCCTCTTTAATGTTAAATCATGGTTAAATGAATCTTATTAATGGCATTTGAGTTAAAAATATTTATGGGATTCAACTGATAAGAAGCAAACCTCCTTTGATTGCCCCATATTACTTAGATGGTTCAAAAGTTTGCTAAGGTTGATGTTTATAGAAATAAGGAAGCATGTCTATCATTGAAGGGAGGGTTACAACTCTACATAGGAGCTTGCATGATAATACTCAATCATATTTGTTCATATCAATAAAAAAAGTTTGAAAATTTTTTAATAACTTGGAGCTTAAATTTTTTTAAAAAATTAACATAGTCCAACTAGTTTGTTGTTCAACAAATAATCAATTAAATGTTTTTTACTTATATGATATTATATTTTAATAAAATTTGATTAATTACAACTCATTTAAAAATATATTTAAGAGTAAAATATAATAATTTAATATTAGTATGCAGGTCAATTTATTATAATTTTTTATTTTGATGAATTATTTTGTTAGTACATATTTACGTTATTGGATCACAAAAAACTTACAACTTATATATTATTTTATTTACTTTATATAAACTAATTCGATAATAATTTGAAATCTATTTAATAACTTATTTATTTAGATTCATAAAAATATTTATTAATAATTTTATATAAAAACTTGAATACTCATTTATTTTTTAACTTATTAGTTTTATATGAAAAGTTATGTATAAATCAAAATTTTACTTTTATATAAAAAATTAAATACTTATTTGAATTTTTAATTTTTTAATTAATATAAACAAACAAAGTATAAATCAAATATAATCATTAAAATTTTAAGCAAGTTAAATAATCTTTTAACCTTTGGCAAATACACACACACATGAAAGCTCGAACTTACATAAACAACTTATGATTCTACCAAGCAGATCCAAAGCATTGAACGCAGACTCAACTCAGGCTAGATTAGCCCCACTGTCCTACTCAAATGTACAAACATGCCAAACGCAAATCAACCCACTTCGTCAACCAAATCCTCCACACCTCAAGCAATCGATTCCAGTGAAAACCGTCAAAAATCATTTAAAACAACTTTGAGGCATTGTTTGGCTGCAACTTAGAATTATGTTAAGAATTATGTATTAAATCGGATAAATCCAAATTGACTAATTCTGATAAATTCAGATTTATCAAATCTAATGTGCAACGAAAATCCTCACGACCGAAGACTAAATAAACCAGTCTCATAATTTGATTTAATAAATTCAAATTTAAGTCATAAAAGTGATTAAATGTGAGGAAAAAAAAAACAAGGAAATTTAATTTTACACAACCTTAAATTTAACTTTAATTTTTTTTTAAAATTTGTTTGAATTTAAGTTGAATAAATAAATCTTATTAATATTAATAGAATACTATCAAATATGGGAAAATGCGGACCGCCGACCGCGGCAACTAATATTTTCTCACCAAACACCGCCTAAATCCGAGGGCAATGTCACAAATCACAACCCTGAGGCTTCTCTGCTCTTCTTCCTCCTTTCTCATCCCAAATCCCTTCTTAAGATTCTCCTTCTCTTTATCCCTCCTTTCGAAGTCCAGGGCTTTACTGAGTTCTCACTTCTCCGCCCTCACCGTGCGTTCCTACTACGGTCGAAGAGGAAGACGACCCCCTGGCCGTGGCGGACGTTTTCAGCACAGGAGAGGAAACAGTACGTTGAGAGAGGAGCGAAGGAAGGACATAGATCCTGCTCCGGTGCGTGAAATGGAGGAAGCGGGGATGGTGGGATTCAACAAGAGAAGGGCGGAAGGGAGGGATAAGAGTTACAGGCCCAGGACTCTCCAGCTCAAGAGTCGAAAGCTGAATCCTGTAAACACCGTTTGTTATGTACAGGTGAAGGTCTTCTTCTTCTTATTGGGGATTCTTCGCTGTGGATGTTTGTTATTTTCGTCGTTTGAACTGGAGGTCTCATACAATTTGGAGTTTTTTTGCTTTCGAGAAACGAAATAAACTTTCGTTATTTTATAGTTGTTTTTGTTTTTTTTTTGGAGAAAATGTATTTTGGTGTTTTGCTGGGAAGTTGCTGTGTTTCAATTGTGTTTTAGTTATACTTCATTTTCTCGTGAATGGGAAAATGTAAGCATTGTTTCTCATACCTATAATTTCTTTGGCAGATTTTGGGCACTGGAATGGACACACAGGACACCTCAGCATCTGTTTTTTTGTTCTTTGATAAGCAGAGGTTTATATTTAACGCTGGAGAGGTATGCTTTCGAACTTAAAGTAGTTATTTTTTTTTTTCTCGTATTGATATTTTTGAGTCCTAGCTATTGTAAGTGCTATAGATAGTATCTTCCATAGAGTCCTAGCTATTGTAAGTGCTATAGATAGTATCTCTTTCTTAGTATTTCTTAGTCATAGTATCTCTTTCCTAGATAGTGTAAAAAAAAAGGAGTATGTGCTTTAGTTCTTTGTTATTCATTTTGTGGTTAAAGATGAAATTCAGCTAATTACCAGAGGGGACTTGAGCTATCTAATAACTACAATTGAAAACTTAGCTGCAAATCAAAACCCAAAAGTATACAATTAAAAAAATGTAAAGTTAGCACGAGGAACACAGTTGACAAGTTCAGCTTCCCTTTATAGGAGTCAATACTACATCTTTATCAGGATAAATTGACTTGTTGTTTGTGGAAGCTCACTTAGAACAACTTATTTGCAACTGTTTCTGGATAAATAACTATTATTCCCCTGTTTAGTAATGCTGCTTGCAACAAAACTGTTTGGACAAAATAATTGATAAAACAGAAGCCGCAAACCATTACATATTAGTTTTAAAAAATAAGATAGAGTTCTCAGTTTCTCGTGAGTATCAAAAGTAATAAAATAAATAGAAAAACAATTACAACTACAATTAAAGCTGCCCCATCCACCAACACACACAGAGAAACCAAAGCTAACTGCCCTATCCGCCAACACATACAGAGAAACCAAGGCCAAAGCCACCAGAGAAAGCACGACCATCTTCCCCATCCACCAACACACACAGAGAAACCAAGCACAGCTGCCCCATTCACCAACACACACAGATAAATCAAGGCTTAAACCACAAGAGAAGGCAAGCTCAGCTGCCCCATCCCCCAACACACACAAAGAAACTAATGCCCAGTTGCCCCATCGCCAAAGCCATCAGAGAGCAAACCCAACTGCCCCATCCACCAACACACACAGAGAAACCAAAGCCCAACTGCCACATTGCCAACACACACAGAGAAACCAACACCAAACCACCAGAGAAAGCAAACCCAACTGCCGCATCCACCAACACACAAAGAGAAATCGAAGCCCAGCAGCCCCATTTGCCAGCACACACAGATAAACCGAGCCCCAGCTGTCCCATCCGCCTACACACACAGAGAAAGTTATCACAGAAGGGCAAATTCCACATGGGAACCTCTGAAATCCATCACTTTTCAAAATTGAGCACTAAAAAATTCTCACATAAAAGGAGAAGAGAAAATTTCAAACCCGAAAAAGGCTCTAGATGAAAAATCATCAAAAAAAACACCACAAAATAAATACTGGATAAATAACTGTTGCATGAAAGCCATTCCTTCAAATAGAGCACCACAAAATTCTCACATCAAAAGAGAGGGGAGATTCCAAACCCGAAAAGGCCTCTAGGTCGAAAATCACCAAGACAAAGGTGACGAGGTTACTTACAGAGCACCACAAGCTCGGATCGGAGGCAACGACCGAGAGAAATGAAGAGAATTGAAGAAAGTTAGAGCTTCAACATGAGACGAGCACAGAGGAGACGATCGAAGGAAGAAGGGCAATAAGAGAAATACGCAGTCGCTGCACGCGGGACACAACCCCCCTACCCGAAACCCTAATAATATCATTTGATGGAGTTTATGAACCCTAAACCCTAAACTCTAAATTAAAATTTAATGAACATTAATTAATTCAATCAAACTTTAATGTCCTCCGAAAAACTTCAATAAACTTTAATAAATCAAATTTAATTAAAATTATGAATACTATCACTTGATGGAGTTTATAAGCCCCTCGAGTTTGTTCAACAAGCTTTGAAGGTTGAATTTAACTTAATTCTTGGACAACTTCTCCTGAGATGTAACTATGGGCAGTTCATCGGCTTTAGGATATTTCAAACTCTATGAATGTCTCAATCAATGACTTTTTAAGCACAATTTAGACTCCCCATAATGACTTGATTAAAATTAAACTTGATGAATTCAAACTTGATGAATGTCTCAATCAATGACTTTTTAAGCACAATTTAGATTCCCATAATGACTTAATTAAATTAAACTAGATGATTATGGTGTACATTTATAATCTCTATTTATTATGCAAACCTTATTTATTAGTTATTCTTATATGCTAAGATAAAATGTCGTGAAGTTTGTTTATGTATCACTAAGAGATTTATTATGGTGAGATATTTGATGCTAATCAATTTTCAAGCTTATTAGTCCTTTTCAAAGTCCCAAGTATTAAAAATACTTTTTTGCTTATCAAATTTAGAAAGTGTTTTCTAGGACTACACCAATATATATATTTTTTGTTTTTGCTTACATTTTTTATCTCCATCAATCATGTGTGAAAGTAATATAATATGAAAGTATGTTTGCAATATAGAATTTTTTTTCATTTTTTTTTGATAAAATCCATTTCAAAGGTAGTTTTGTGTTGAGAAAATTAATAAAAAAGTATAGTACCCAAAAAAAAAGATTTTTACGTTGTTTTATAGATTATATGAAATTATATGATTGCAAGGAATAAAAATTGATTTGGTTTTTATTATGAAAGTATGTTCTCATCACTTACATGTTGAATTTATTCAAGATATATCTAATGGAGCATTGAAAAGCATTGGGAAGGAGTTATTGATTGATCAAAGGCTCTCTAGTTATAGTTGGAAATTCATATATTTTGTCTTCATTATGAAGCTGCAGGATATTCGAAGTAATGTAACTTAGTGTATGTTTTTCTGGATGACATAGTTCTAGTTGGAGAACCGTTTACTGAAGCATGAGGAATATTAGAATAATACAATAGTATTTAATAGATAAAAGACTCGGGATTAGTAGAATGATGACAAAATATATACTATCGGAAGAAAAAGTGATACCTATTCGTGGTACAGAAATGAGGTTATAATTGCTATGGTTATGGTTAGGTTGTTATAGTACTATGTGATAAGAGAACAATGGAGTATAAGCAAGTAAATTTAATAAAATTGTAAATAGGTTGGCATGCTGTAGATTTGATTGTTGGGTTATAAAGAAGCCATTAATAATTATGCTGTGCTTTATATAAATGATAGTTGTAAGATTGATGTTTTGCAAAACCAACTATTGATTATTTGGATATGATTATATTAGAGGGATAGTGTGAGAACATCCATAAGAGTAGATTGTGAAGACTAAACGTAAATTATATGGGAATATTCTGTACATTTGGGAATATTTTTGCAAATTTTTACAAGACATTATTTCATGCTTATCCACACCAATATAAAGATTATTGGAGCCTTCTACCTATCTTATGACCTATTCTAACTTGATGTGTTTCCTGTATTAACATGGTTCCATCATGAATCTCTTTTTGATATAAGCACTAGAATGCTTCATATCTCATGCTGTTTGTAGTCGTGTCTAATACATGGTGATAAGTAATCCTAGATATCAAATGGTATGTAACAAAGCAAAAACATTAGTGATAATAACTAAAGTTTTATAATTTTATTTAGGAAACAAACAATCCATTTTATATGCAAATGTAGAGTATTGAAGAATTAGTAGATAGAGCAGGGTGGAGGAAGCCACTTCTTTGAACTGTCCAATAGGACATGAGGTCATTTTTACTTTTGTTTCTTGGAAATTACTGCTTGATCCATGAATCACCAATTGGGAAGTTTGTTGGGGATCACCATTTGCTCATCTAATTTGAGAAAAAACCTGGAAGATGGATAAAATTAAGGTAAAAGTGAATAATTAAACTAGTGAATTACAAATTTGCCTGTTCTCTTCGTGCTTCACATTTGTAGTTAATAAGCTTCCCTCCCAAAAGATTCTTTCATTCATGAAATCAATTTTGCAAAAAAAAAAAAAAAAAAAAAACCATTCTCCCAAAAAAATTTTTCATTAATGAAAAAAATTTTAAAAAAAAAAAAAAAAAAAAAAAAAAAAACCATTTTAATGATGGCTTAATTTATTTTGACACTATATAGTACCCCCAAAATCCAAGTATTAGGGTCCATGAAATATGGTATGGTAAGTGCATACATATACAGCAGCAAATTGTTGTTTTTCATGAATTAATCGTTTTTATCTAACATAAGAATCTTTTGATAGAATTCAAATGCTTTTAAATGAAAATGAAAACGTGCCTAGAAGTAATCACTACAAATCAATCAAAGTAAATGACAACATATGAAAACTAGTTTATTTGGAATTATTGATTATAAAATTGGAACTCAACTACTACTGTCTTTGGCTTTGAAAGGCAGATTTTGGAGAATTGCTGTGGCAGATTACTTAAAATGCAAAATGTTAGAAATTATTAGCATTGATTTATTTCCTCTTTTATATATTTCCTTCTTGTTTTATGTATTTTCTATTTCTCTGTCTTTCCTATTTTATATCTTTTCTATGTTAGGAGTCATTAGTATGTACTTATACCTCCCCTTTCTTATCAATAAGATTTTCTTGCTCAATTCCGAAAATCTATATGGTATCAAAGTCAAGAATCTAACCCTAGCTGCCAGCTCCTTCTTCCCTTCTTCCCATGGCCGAAACTTCATGCAGGCTTTCTTCCTTTGCAGTTTTTTAGCCGCCAGTCTCCCTCTTCCTGCAGTTTTTCAGTCGCTAGCTTCCCCGCATTCTCTCCCGTCACTATTTCCCAACGGAATTCAACCGCTGATCCTTCCTACAGGATTTTCCAGTCGCCGGACCTCCCTCAGTAGGCTAAATCTCATTCCTACAGAATTCTCCTGTTTTGTTGTTTACTTATCTGCAGGGCCTACTGTTGTTGATCTTCTTGGTAGGATTTCCTACCGCCGACTCTCCTCCTGCCTTTGGAATCCTTCTATGTCGGGATTACTGATTCTGGCCTTTGGAATCCTTCTATGTCGGGATTACTGATTCCGATTTTATATATATATAGATGTAAGATGCGATGTATGCGATTATATAATTAATTTTCTTAATAGTTATTAATTTGCAACAAAGTAAAA